GCCAAGCCTGTGGTGTGTACATACTCACTGTTGCACTGATCGCAGGCATAGATATTTCCTTCCAAGGCTTCGGTCTCTGTGAACTTGGCCAACATTTCTGTCAGCAAGCAAGGATACTGCGCAGACGTCTCTTTTCCATTACAATGGTATCTCTCTGGAAACTCCAGTGACAAGTCCCAGAAGGGCTCAATGGTATTGGATTTATTGTCACAGGCAAGACACGTCACCTGTCAAAGCAGACAGACAGTCAGAGACTATATCGAGGTCTCCTTGTATGCAGTGGTTGTTTTCCTGCTTTGAGTGACCACCTAATTTAGTGAAAATTATTCCATCATCCTCAGTTTAGGATGATTATGATTTTTAATTTTACATTACTACATGTCCATTTTTTAAAACTAGACATCTCACACAGCTGCAGATAAAAAAAAACACAACCATAAAACCTTCAGGCTAAAATGTAAAACTGCAGGACTGAGCTCTGGGATCAGTAATCAACGTCACCTGCAAACTAGGATTCAGGGACTGATTATGTAAAACTCTCAGCAGTGATACCACTGCAAAAAGCAGCTTGTCTTGCCTCAACCAGCAGTGTTTTAACTAGAAAACAATCATCTAAATTGAACAAGGAAATCAGAATACTGCTGTCTTTTACACTGCAAACATCTGTCCGATATCTACACTGCACTTTCCATTTCTACGCTGAAGTATTGCTTTACTACAATGCATCTCAAAATACATGCTACAATTTTGTACTGCGCACTTTGAATGGCTGCATCTGTACATAGTTAAAATATACAATATGCAATATGTAAACAAATTCCTAAGCAACTACGATTTTTTGGTCATGAATCTTCCAAGCTACGTACTGTAATAAAAACATATTATAATTAATTAACATTTACTCTACAATGAGTAGAGTAATATTTCCTCTCCTGTGCTAAATTTCTTCATTTAATATGAAAATTACCACTCAAAATGATTATTTGATTTTGCTCTTAGATGTCTTAAGATGTTAACTCCTGAAGATGAGATAAATACAACTACATAGCATTTTAAATGTTAGGATTTTATACTATGTTGTTAATGGCATTCATTTTTTATCTGATTTTTAAAATGATTGCTATTATTTATATTGATACTAAAATTAATTAAAACTAACTTCTTTACAGTTGGTAATTACCTGTTATCCCAAATCTCCACATCTTTTTCTGCCTTGAAGTAAAGACAGAATATATGAACAGCATATCTCTAATAAAGGAAAACAAGACAGTATTATCACGTGTTTTAATTTCCTTCCTTAGTATTGAGTCAGAGCTGCATCTGTTATTTACAGTTATATCAAAAGTCAGTGTGTTCCAAAGTTCCAAAACATCTGTGCAGATCTTCAACATTTTTATTTTAGCATTTCACTTATAGTCAAATTCCAATAATGTTATAAGCAGACAAATATAAATATATAGTCTATTTGCTGGGTTGTGGAAATGATACAGCTAGCTGCAGGCAGCTGTTGCAAGGGTAAAGATTGAGGGTTGGGTGCTAGAAAAGAGCCACACAAAGTGCCAAGAGGTATACCGCAAAAGGCATGACAAATAGCATCATGTCTTGCTGTTTTCCTTTCGTCAAATAATCTGATGCAAGACTCCACTAAATTGTAAAACTGCCAGGTGGTGCAATTAATCCTTAAAGTACCATAGCTGTCTATGGCTGTCATAATAAATAATAAAAAAAATCTAAATATTTATTAACCCATTAGTTCTTTCCTAATCATACTTATCATACTATATAAGTTGGTGACAATTTAATTAAATATAGTGATTACACACAACTCCAAATAGGATACTCTTGTCACAATACTGTTTAACAGTTAATAACAGTTATTATGTTTTTAATTACACACAATACACAGAATTATTAGTTATTTTGTATAACTAGTAATTAAAAAGAGGATAATTTTAATTTAGATTTTAATTATTATTTTTAGAGGTAAAAGTTTTAAAAACTGTATTTAAAAGCAAAGTAATATATACTGTAAGTCATCAGATTAAGTAGTGATCTGAATAATTATGTCAATGATGCAGGTATATCTGTGGATTTTACTTCATTGAATTCTTTGACTCAGTAACTCATTGCAAGATTTGCTCTGTCTAACTGAAACTGTATCATGTTGTAAATAGTAACAGTATGTATATGAGGCATTGGAAAATTTTGCTTATGTGTCAATGTATTTTTCACCAAATTGGTGAAGCATACAATTCCTGGTCCCTAAAATAAAATAAAAAAAGAAAAATAAATAAATGTCACTAACAAAATCCCAAAGTAACAAAAAAGCATCTACTGTAGTTTTTCATTCAATGTGTGACCCAAATATCCTGACACCAAAATTATATTTTCTGATCTCCCAAAGAGGGAGTAAAATTCATTAAAGAATTATGTGAATTTACAAAAATATTCATACTCTGCATCAACTACGATATTACCACCATTCATGTACACTGCCTCCAGTCTCCGGCATATAATCTACTTTTCAAAATGAATCCTGACAGTTACTTTACATTTTAAAATGGTAGGTAAAATGGTCTGTGCATTTTATATGTTTATAAAATATATACAGTACAATACATTATATTATGTATTCAAGGAATATGATTATTAGACTAAGAAAAAGATTAAATTAAGCTGCCATTTCAATAAATCTAATGCAACAAAAGTGCCACCTATTCTCTCTTATCTCCTTTGATCAGAAAAAAGGATGGTTGCAGGAAACCAGACAAAATTTAAAGCTTAATGCAGAGTGCTTACTGTTAACACACTATTTGATGAGCATTCTAGATAGCTAAATCTGTACATACTATTTATTGTTACAGCTGTAGATGACTATGGATGTGTCTCAAAAGAATTTAGAAATAATGGGTAATAGTAGTTCAGGTGGGTAGCTGCATCAGCATGCATAATCTACAAAGGAACAAGTAATAGGTTTATTCCATGCTGAAAAGAGAAGAAAGAAAACACAATGTTTCAGCTGTTAAGCCTTCTTATCACTTCTACAGATGCAGCCATTCAAAACAAGGAGGGTGCGCTGCAGAATAACGTGGTGGGCATGTCGCATCAAAATGCGGTATAACTCGTCATTTCTCGCATTTCTTGCATTTAATTACCATATGCAAATTAGATTATGTTAATAGTATCCAGACTCCTTGTAAAACCACCAGGAGGAGCTAATAAAGCTTAACCTCTCATGCACAGCATTTGAGCTTTCACCAGAAAATGCTGGTTTTGATGTATACTCTTCAGACTTTTAAATTTAAACTGTGTACAGATGCAGTCATTCAAAATATGCGGGCAATACCGCATTATTTTGCGGTGCGCTTTACGCAGTCTACTGTGAGTTACAGTAAATTCTCCTATAATACTGCAAGCAAAATAATAGTATCCAAAATTTCCGCAAGGTGGAGCTAATAAAGCTCAACCTCTCATGTTTGAGCTGTCGCCATCAAAGTCTTTAACGAAGATATTACTAATAGTATTAATAATGAATTACCTTGGACAAGCTGTAAACTCAAAGTATTGCCCTGGTCCACATTCTTTGTAACCGTCTTTGTAAACGAAAATACTATTTTTTAATTGACAAAAAGTAACACCACAGCTTTTCGTTGATCCGATCACATATTCGTTTCCAATCATACAAAGTAAGTTTTGAGAATCTCCGATTCACCATGCCTTTCACATGCTCATAAACAATATTAATTTAGGAACATAAACATATCATGTTAACTGTACAGTATATGGCTGGTATTGGTATTTTAAAGAAAAAATACACACCACTATTCCGCTTTCTCCCTAAACATTTTAAGCATCAAAGTCTGACATGTGGTTATTTCGTAAACGTTTTTACGTGCTCCTTGCTCCTTCTGACTATGTTACTGTACATTTATACAGTTATATTAAGATTATATACTTTGTGAAAAGTGATAGTCTTTTAACCTTTTCTGTGAATTTGTTATCGGCTTAAACAAACGCATACTTTTAGAATTTGATTAACAGGGAATATAATATGGAATCACGTATCCAAACAAATTAATAACTATATAATTATATGCATGTACTGTCTGGCAGAATAAACTGAAGAGTTAGTTAACGTGACACGGAATTATTAAGAATTATCACCTCTTTTTACACTTGAGAATAAATGAGAGCATTCCACTCAGTGGGCGATGCATTGTTATCTCAATCACCTGCTAATTAGTTTTACACCACAGGAAGACAAGAGAATGTGATCATACTGTATCTGTACGGAATACGTGTTGGGTTTACAAAAGTGAAGTGTTTGAAGTGTATAATTAAAAAGCAAAAAAACCTTAAAGCTTACACAAAGATTCTAACATGATCACGGGGAAGTGTATTGCATGTCTAGTGGTCTTACCCCCTTTTGATTAAAATTGCAAACGCGTGTTTAACTAAATGCCTTTTTTGATTCACAATCTCACAATGAAAACCGGGGTTTAGTTAGTTCAAAAACGATTTTGGCACACCTGCAGTATTTTCGAAACCTGCTAGAGTTGTGAGAACACTTCCTTTGTGTATAAAGTAAATTGTGAAGGTTTCCACAGCCTTCACTTTGTTGTTTTTATTACATTTTTTTGATCACACACGAATATTCTTATGTCCATATCTTCAAATTTTAATACTAATTAAATGACCACAGGCATTTTCCACCCCCTCTACTCTTCTCAGAGTAGAATAGGCTAACCTTCGGTGGATGTTTTGGGTTTTGCTTGTTCACGTATCTCCCCTTTTTATAAAATGACATGGTTGAAAACTGTTCCAGAGCCACTGTTATTTCATCAGTGAAAAGTACATAATGAAATCCCTCTCCCTGTTCAATTCGTTGGAAATAAGAAAAGGAGCATAAAGCGTCTGATGGTCATAAACAATATTAATTTAGGAACAGCATCAGAGATATTTTTGCACTGCACTGCATCGAAGAGAATACCATAGCGCATTTTTTTTTTTAATTCCCTGGCAGAAACAGGCTTCCATGAGAATCAGTATAGATTCTGGGAAATACATTTTTCCTGCATTTTCTTAGTTTAACTCGTTCAAAGCACCCTACAATACAAACCCCAAGCTTTTCTATTTGAGCTGAAGACCCTCATTTGAAGGATTCACAGCCAAAACATTGCAGGCTGATGCGGCTACCCACCAAAGTAAATGTATTGCACTAAATGTTTATATCATTATATCTATTTTTTTTTTCTTTTTTAAAAATTAAAAAAAATAATTTGCCCAGCCTTAAATGGGGGGTCTGCTCTAATTGACATCTGACACTCCTCCATACACTCAAGTAAAAAAAATAATACAGCCAATGTAAACATCATATTTACAATTTGTTGATAATAAAAATGTTAAGTTCTCTAAAGCTTTCACAGTCAAGTATGATAATTTACCTAGGGAGCTGTGTAAGGATGCATAGGCAGCAAAAGATTGGCTAAACTGGGAACGCTTTCAGAGAAAATGTTTCAGGTGTGAAGAACACAGATTCCCACTGCATTTTCAACCAAACCTGTCCCCTCACATCCTGCCCCCACTGCACTTAGAATATACACAAAGCACTGAAATCTTTAGAGTAGATAATCATGTGTTTCGCAGACGTAGGCATAGTACGTAATTCAGGCTTTATGAACTCACACCTGGGATTCGATTAATTAGGGTTATTAATTATTAGAGTGCATAAAGCCTGAATTATGTACTATGTCTATGTCTGAGAAACATCTTTGCTAATTAATGCTACTTCACTTTCTCTTTCCCGGGCGTGATTTTTTTAGGCAAAAACCAGGCTAAAAGGCTTTTTTTGTGATCTTCCTAAGATTGTTAAGCGCAATGTCAAAATGTTTCCATATGAAAGGATTCATATGGAAGGCAATGATGTCACCGTCCTGGGGCGTATGTGTGTGGCCGATCTGTGATGTGGTTGAGTGTGAATTGTGATGAGCCTCTGATTGGGGAAAAAAAGACCTGCTGATCTGTTCTACATACCAGGAAGACAACAGAATATGTTTTTTTTCTATTCAAAACGTGTATTTTAAACATTTAATTAAGAAGTAAAAACCTTACAGCGTACAGAGATTTCTAAGCTGATCAGAAGGAAGAAAAATAACCTATGTTTCGCGCTTAAAAATTGTTATTAACTATCAAAACCTGTTTTTATAGCTTTTAAAGTAGTGCGATGTCT